TTGTGGTAAATAGTTTCTTTTTTTAAAAAATAGACAATTTATAAGGAAAAAAATATATAAACACTCTTTAAGCAATTTGGCTATAAGCATTACATCACTGAAAAACTCCACAAGAAATAGTAAAATATTTTGAGTGGACATACACTTTTTCACTTTCACAACATCATGAGTTAGGGTTTTTGTTTTTGTTTTCATTTCTTTGTTTTGGTATTGAATTTTACTGGTAAGTTTATTGCTCAGTGTCTTCTTGTCCTTTCTCAGATTATCATTGTAAAACACAGGTGCTGTCCCTAATTATGTCACAAGGCAACATTGTATTTTTGAGACCCAGGAATGAAATAGGGCCACTACTACTTCCGCAGCCTCAGAGAGACGACGGCTGGGACCACAGTCCACATGCACCATGGTGCACAAAAGAGTAAGTCTCCTGGCTCATTCAGGACACTTTGGTTTGGAGGATGAGATAGAAAATTCTTAAGTATAGCTTAGCTGCTGCCTCATATCTGTTGCATAATATAACATTTTTTTTTTAAACATGCTATGAATAAAGGGTTAAAGAGTATAAACTGGCTCTTCTCCTTGGTTTTCTCGTAGCAGGCTTCATCTAGGCTGACATGAGGAACATGTCTTTGCTAGGATACTAAGGAACGCACGCACATGTACCTGGTGCAAATATTCTGTAAGTATTTTAAATGATGCAGCTCAGAGCCTGAGGGGAAGGGTGGGGAGTTGGAAAGGGGAGAGCAGAAGGCAAGTCTGAGGAAAGGGAGGGTCTTTGAGAAAGAACCAGAGAAACAGGGATTGAAAAAGCTAAAGTGCAATTTTAAAATATAAATTATTTTAAAAGCAGAAGAGAGACTCTAAATTGCTACTGTTCGCATAGGCACAGTTTTATTCAAATTTAAATGGGTTGTTTCCTTTTCCTTCTCAGATATACTGCATAATGGAACTTGAATGGCTTAAAGCTACGGCACATTGTTTGGGACTGGACAAAGAGAGCACTAAGGAAGCTGAATAGTGCAAGGCATTCTAGGAAATCGGGGTGGGGTGGAGAGAAGCAGAGATGAAGTTCCTACACTTTTATAAGAAAGCTGTTCCAGTTATAGTTACTGATTCCCTTTAGCTGAACTCTGCTTCCTAAAGGAAAGAGCTTACTTTAAGAATTAAAAAAAAAGAAAAAAAAGAGAAAAGAATGTTTTAAAAAACCGTTCAGAACATAGATTAAAAAATAACTCACAGAGCAATAAAAATCCTTGAAATTTCTATGCACAGAGATCTAAGCAAAATACTTCCACCATATGATGGAGAATAGCCATTTGAAACCCTGAAAAATGAAGATATACACAACTAGAGTATTATGTTTATTATGAACTAATACTTTAAAAACAAGTAGATCCTACAGAAGAATACTGTTCAAATGGAATGTTTCAAAATAACATTTATTAATAAATATCTTATAAAATTCTAAATTAATAGATTCCTGTTCAAATTTTGCTTTGGTCCTTGAATTCCACTGTATACACACATACATACAAATATATTTTCTTCGATGGTTTTTATTAACCAAAAACAAGCACATTCTATCCTAACTGGATGGCTAGTTTGATAGCAGTTACTGATGCTTAAAACTCCCCAGCCAAAGGCTGGTCTTTCACCGCAGCTGGTTTCAGATTTTAATGGCAAACTCAACTGACACACTGAAATTGACATAACAGCGACCCAACTCCCTGAACATCCATCACTGCCACCCCTCTGTTCAGAACAGGTGCTGCATTTGATTTCTTTGACCAGCTAGGCTCCAAAGAGCTTTGCTCCAAGTGAGTCACCCAAATTATCACCATTCATTCAGTGACACCACAGAAACTGCCGTCTCCCACGGGCCATGTGAACACTGGCACTCACGCACACTAACATGGAGGTAGGGAGGGGTGAATGGAGGTGTAAAGGGAAAACATCAGCTTAAGACAGACTTTAAAATGAGTACGTTCATCCTTAGTTAGGATTTACTCCACCTGTCCTGGCGTCATATGTTGGGAAATGTCTTAAGAAGAAATACAATGTGAACGCCTCAATTTAGGATCACCTGGCAAATATGCCATCGGGGTACCTAAGTCGGGTCCCATCACAGAAGGCAAGGGAAGCACTGTAGAAATTTTCAGGTAGGCTGGCAGTGACTTCAAAGGCAGATGCTGCCAATAAAAAACCCACACACGAATGAGGAGAGGCGGTGTTGCAGGGCCTTTCCTTCCTCAGGATGGGTGCTCCTGAAGGTCATTACACTGGCTCGGTGAAGATACAGGCGGATGACCCAGGAATTGAGTGGGAGAGGAGAATGGGGCAGAAAAAAAGATGTTTTCCCAGATTGGCAAAAAATGGAGGGCACAGAGGGGTTTTTCAGGCAGACTGATTGTTCCATGGTCTGGTGAAGGCTGGACCTTCCAGTGAAGTACTTAATATTGATAAGCTGAGTGTGGATTTGACCAACAAGCCTTTCTGTTCAGGGTTTCAAGACACTCTGACAACGAGCTGGCATCTTCCATTTTACTGTATTTCCACACTGCTAATGAACATACCTAAAGGCTCTAAATATAACAAGAAGACAGTTTATTCTAATTGTACATTGAGGGCTGTTTGCTAATGTGTGTGTGTGTGTGTGTGTGTGTGTGTGTGTGTGTGTGTATGTGTGTGTGTGTGTGTGTGTGTGGTTGGTTGGTTTGCCTATTTAGCATAAAAAACAGACATAATTGAGCTCTATATAATGCACATCAGTCAAACTGTCAAGTTGCTGAATTAAGAAAACTCAAGCAAGTTCTTCACTACAGAGGCTTTCAGCTTAACAACTAAATATTCAATCAAGAGGTGGAACAGAAGTAAAGTAAACCATAATTTTAGTGACAGCCCATTCCCTGGACATTCTGATATTACCCATGGATTTTTAAAAAATCCATTTCATTAAGTGCTATGCATGCAGTAAAGAAAGAAAAGTTTTTGTTTACTTAAAGCAAAAAATAAGAAAAACATAAAAAATTTAAAACCCAAGCAAACATTTCAATGAGTTCTTTTTCTTTTTTAGAGAGACACATACATGGTCCTAGAAAGGAGTTTTGAAAAAATTAAATTTAATATCAGAATACAGATATATCTTAAATATTTCTTAGGAAGCCAGTTAGGGTCAACCGTTCAGCTGTTACTGCTGGGATGCGAAATAAAACAACTATGGATTCAGTATTTAAAATACTTAAAAAGAGATATGTTTGTCTAAAATATAATAGAAAATCCTTTGCATTTTTTTTCTTTAAAAAAATTTTTTTTTGTTTGTGTGTGTGTGTTTGTTTTGTTTTTGCTTTTGTTTGGATTTCTAGATTACATAGCCAGTCATGAGTTTCTCTGGACACTCAAAACTTTCTTTTGAAAGCACTGCATACATTAAAAAAAATTGCTGATAAATACTGATTTGAAAAGTAAGTTTTTCGATAAAACTGAAACTAGTTATAAAAATCATGCTTCATGACCCTCATATTTTTTTTCTCCAAAATAGATTTTATGCTATAGTGAGAGATAAACACATAGACACACACCCATACATGTCTTTCCCTTTCCTGAATGCTTATAAAAGCTACACCTTTTGTAAAATAATATTATTTTAAATCCCATGAACACACATACACACATGTGCACACGTGTGCACACACACACACACACACACACACACACACTCAATCTCTCATGTTAGGTCAAGCATTCAAATGGAGATGAAACACCAGCACCTGTGTAGACTGCTAGAGGGAAACATTAGTCCCTGTTACTTGTGAGATGTGATATTAAAACATTGACACAGTAGAATGGCTTGTTTCAAGGAGGCACAACTGTGGTTCGGGACTATCTACTTTCCGTAATAGGCAAGTCAATGAAAGTTCTTGGAAATATAAATCAGAATTACTCAGAAGACTGGAGTAGCCACATCCATGGGATTCTTTCAGCAGCCAAAGGCTTTGGCTGTTCTGGGAGGGCTGAAAGCACCCCTATGGAAACATTAGGTTTTCTCTTTCTCTTTGTTCCTCCAGTGGTATGTCTACTTTCACCCACCAGAACAGCAGAGCCAGTTCCATAGGCTTAAGAGAAAAAATAATAATAAATCTTAATCTATTAGCAGCTGATGATTGAACAATGTAATATGTGTAGTGAATAGAGCCCTTCTAAATTATTACACAGCACATGGATTTTCAACCTTATAGACAGGCCATATAAACCAGTTGTAATTCGAGGGTGTGATGTTATAGCCTGCATCATAATCTGGACCTTCACAATCGAGGCTTAGAAGGCTCCCTTCCCTGGTGTCTCCACAGCTGGCATTCAACAGTGCCTCACCTATGGCTAAGTCACCTTTTATTTGCTCTGATTATTAAAAACATTAAATCAGGCACATTAAACATCTCCTGCTTACTATTTTGTAAAAAGCAAGAGGTGAATGAACTCCAGCTGTGGGTCATGGGCAAGGAAAGCAATGGCTAGATCCATATTTTTGAGATTTGCTTTTTTTTCCTCTTTAAGCATTATTTTCTTTTTTATGTGCAATTCTAAAGGGGGAAACATAAAACAGCAGAAAGTAAAAATAAAGAGTTCACAGGGAGCCCGGGAAAAAGTGGAAATGGAAAGGAAGATTGGAGGAAATCAGAGGATAATTCCAGGAAGTGGACCAAGGGGAGGAGGTGGAGGGGGGTGAGATGCTCGGTGGCTTTATTTGGACATCAGTGGGTCTTATGATTTTTTGTAGGAAGAGACAAAATTATGGAAAAGGCTCTGTGTTTATCTGGAATTCTGGCGACATCAGAGCACAAACTCGACGTGTGTTACAATGTCATGAGACTCACCACCCAGTTACCTCGCATCCGTTTACTTGACATCTAGGTTATGCCTCATTTTGGCTAAAAGCTGCGGTTTAACAAGGTTCGATGTTTCAAGCAAAGGGTTGGACTGATAAGAATGAAACCGTGTCTATATACAGAAAGAGTTCAATTTATAAACAAGTTAACTGGTACCAGAAAATTGGAGAAAAGCACCAAAGCATTTCCCAAGCTGATAGATTAATTAATTGCATAACTCCCTTTTTTTCTTATATAACTAAGTATAAAAGACGACATTTCCATAATAACTATAAAAATGAAAGCCAGTCTCTGAAGGGCTGAGGAGTCTTCCAGGTCTGAGTTAATTCTAAAAATGCCCTTAAAAGAAAGGACGCATGATATGCGACAGCTCTTCTTGGAGGCAAGGTCTGACCCACCAGCAGATTTTAAAGGATGGGATTCAGGTCTGTTCTGTGAGTGGTGAGCTGACTGAGGGTGGAGCTCCCCACCACCTCGCTCACGGCGGAGGAAGTGGTGATGGTATTGTGTTGGATGACCTGCTGCTGAGAGCAAGCTGGGACAGGACTGGCAGGAGGGCTGCTCTCTGGACCTAGGAGAAAGCACATACACACACATACCAATATAGCTCTTCTTGGGTGGACCTGTGGGCTACTCAGGGAGACATTACTACGCATTTACTAGAGATAGAAGAGTTTCACACATTTGCTCCTGGACATTAATTTCAAAACTTTATTTTAAACTGTAGTCAAAAGCTATGCCTTCCCACTTTATAGCTACAAGCAAAGCCATGCTTTCTGTACCAGCAACATGATTTCATGTGTTCGAGTCTTGGGATGTAAACTTCCCCATGTTTGTATCTTCAAATAGCCATCCATATATCAAATGTGGAAAAATACTCACATGTGGTGGGAGAATCTGTGTTGCTCAATCTAAAAAATTATTTGAAAATAAATTGACCTTCAGCCATGAATCCCTGCTCCTCCCACCATCCCCCACTCAGCTAGCATTTAACTTATTGACATTCCAGATGCAGAAACTGGGGTCTAGAGAAAGGGATTCACTTTACTTATTGGAAAACTAAGACCAAGTCACTAGCTTTTCAGCCCAGTGAATAAGAGGCAGCATACCTTAAGGCATTGGATGTGATTTCCCCAAGGCCTCTACCCAGCCCCTGGATTTCTCTGGAAGACGGCTAGCCCACTGGTAGTTGGGCTCCCGTAAGCTATTTTCCTGCTGGCTGCGGAACTGGAATTCGATAGGATTTTACAATATGAAATGCCAGGGAAATTCTAGCCAGAAGGTATTGGGAGGTGGTGGGCATGGGGAGGGGGTCAGAAAAGAGGGATCCCCCTGGTGCAATCTACACTTTACTTTTGCTCTTTCAATAAAATCCAATGCAAAATTAGTGGCAAAAAAATTGGACACTAAGAAAAGAAGAAAAGTCAATGACTTACTTAGATATCCTTGTGATTCTTTCTGCATGGCTGTTATTGGACAGTCTTTATGCGTTAACAACAACTGTTTCAGCTGTGCCACCTCATTTTTCAACATGGACACTTCATTCTGGAAAGAGACATATCAAAAATGTTTGAAAGACCAGAGAATACAAGTCCCCATGCACTTTCAACAGTGATATTGGCAAACTTTTCTATTGTGTCTGAATGACATTAAGGATAATATTTAATGGGATTCACCTGAAAATGTGTAGCTTCCTTTTAATTTGGTCCTCACATTTACCAGGGACTTATTGAAAAGACCATATTTTAACTCTAGAGCTGAATCCTATTAAAAGTTCAGAGCATACCCTTTAGGTGATGGACTCTGGAGTGAGGTGACTTAGGTGGGAATCTTCACCCGACACTTACTGGGTGAGTCTAGGCAGGAAACGTAAGCCAGATGAACTTCAGAGACCTTGTTTATAATTGGAGATCAAAGCAGAATAAAGTTCTTTGAGTTGTAAGGACTGAATGAGACAATAGGTATAAAATGCTGAGGACATTGCCTAGCCCATACTGAGCAATCACTGAATTTAGCTATTCATAATAATCATCTTCACACTGATAAGCTCAGGTTGACATTCAATATGTGAAGAAAGTGAATGTTGCACATGCATTGGGGAGCACCGAGTGGCAGAATTAGTGGCTTCAGACTGAAATGTCTTCAGAATAAGCCAACCCATCTACCACCAGATTTCCCAAAAGAATTGTCAAATGGGCTATAATTCAACAGAGCACATCCCTGCCTGATATCTGCTTAGTAGAAGGTATGGAAGCACATGGAACAAATGTTGATCCTCTACTGGTGGATGAGGTCAGCCCTGGAAGGTGAGGGGCAATGAAGTTTTGGCTACAATTAAATTAATTTGTTTGGTTCATTAACTAATTTGGCTAATTTCAGTCAATAAACGTTTTCCACCATCAATAACAGGGTGTTGTGGATTGTGTGTGTGTGTGTGTGTGTGTGTGTTTCTTATTTACTTAGATAAGTGCCTCGAATCTCCACTTTATGTAGTAATTCACAAAGACCGATTCATAGCTTTGTAGAATAATGTACTTGGCACCACTGTCTACAAATATGAATGTAGAATAGATTGGTTGGTTCTAAGGTGCTTCCACTTGATAAAAGTAAACTGTAAACATAGCACTATCTCAAACAACCCATAAATTTATAGTTGTGATAAATAGTACCCTCTCTCCGGCCAATATTCATTTGTGGCTGCCAGACATTGTACTCCACATGTAGGAGACTTTAAAAAGACATGCACACAAAAAAGGGTGTTCCAACATTGCTGTCATTAAGTTGTATCTACGCTTTTATTACGAACTCGGCTTTTTCAGGCATGTATTTATCACCTAAAAAAGTAAGTCTGGGATTCTAAAAGTTAATTAAAAAATTTTTTTGAAACTTGTTTTAAAGGTTACCCCACATTTCTAAATTCATTTGCAAAATATAAGTAACCAAAAGTTGAGTAACATAAGTAACAAAATAGTAAGACTCTAATCTAGGAAAGTTTTTCTCTTCTCCAAATTTTATAAAATAAAAATGCCTATCGGAGAAATTAGCATTAATGACATATAAATCACGTAATTGCTCTTAATCCAAAAACATTCAGGAGGGTGAATTGCATCTCCCACCTCCAAAGGAGTGTGATCGGTAAGGGGCCCTATTGAAACCAAAATTGACCCTTGTCAATTCTGGGGTCAGTGTGACAACTTTATTTATAAGACAACTTATTGTAGCCTTAAATACCAGTTCTTTCCTCTTTGATTTCATGCCCATTTAAATTCAGACAGCCTTCCTTGCTTTTCCCAGATTCCCTCTGCTTAAAATGGCATGTGTAAAAGAAAGTTACTTTTAGACTGTTAAATAGAAGGCAACCCCTAGTTAAAAAAAAACAGGGACTCCTGGGTGGCTTAGTTGTTAAGTGTCTGTGTTCGGCTCAGGTCATGATCCCAGAGTCCTGGGATCAAGTCCTGCACCAGGCTCCCTGCTCATCGGGGAGCCTGCTTCTCTCTCTGCCCCTCCCCCTGCTCACGCTCACTTGCTCTCTTTCTCTGGCAAATAAATAAATAAATAAAGCTTTAAAACAAAATAAGCAAAACCAAAATGAAAGTGGAGAAAAAGAAAACATATATATATATATATTACATAACATATATATATATATTTTTTGGCCTCAAAATGAAATGTCATATTATTTGCATTTACATTATAGATACAGTACTTTTCTAGAATCACAACCGCTGAGACAACTGCACCCTAATCTCTGCTGCAAATAATGCAGACAATTGTTCTTAGAGAATGGAGTCAAGCTCCAATTTTTACTAAACCCTCCCATAACCTTCTGTAACCTAGGAAACAACAAATAAGTAAAGTATATAAAATAAAACAAAACAGGATTCTCTTGCTTTCTTACACGTCTAGAAAAAAAAAAAAAATCGCACCTGGCAGCCATCTTGGAGAGGTCGATTTTAGTCTCCGTTTCTTCCCCAACTATGTCCTGCTCCGTCCCACCTTTTCTAGGCATTGTTCGATCTCCCAGGCACAAAGTGTTCAAGGCCCCTTCCTTAAAAAAACACGTTCAATTCCGTTCTTTGGGCTTCTACAATCACAAGGAGCTAACTGCCTACAGTACTTGGCACACCCCAAGTTGTTTCATAAGAAAGCATTTGCTTGCATGAGAGGCCACAATAAAACAGCACCAATCACTGCTATGAACAGCATATGTGGTGTCTTGGCCTCTAACCAAAGCCCCATACAAAATAGATGACCTGAGTGGCACTTTTTGTCTACAGAGAGCAAAGCACTTTAGTCCTTCTTAAGTATGGGAACCGAGAACCTGCGAGTTGGAGGGTCTGTAGAAGCGTAGGAACCTGAAGACTACGGTGATAACTGATCATCGTTTAAAGATATGTGTGAATAAGGACATATTTCTTAAAATAATGTGTTAATATTTATGTTAGTTATCTTATGGTTGGAAAATGAATGCTGATTAGTATTCTCCATAAAGAAGAACCCTCAGCCTCTGTTTAGATCATACACATGTAATTATGATGCTGATAAGGAGGAAATCAAAGTCTAACGGCCACAGAAGCAACAGAAATTCATGGGGCAGCTTCCAGCAGGAAGAAGAGCTCTCAATAGGGGTTTCAGAAAAACACGGTTTGGCCTCCCCATTGGCCACACCAGACTGACCTAAAGCAAGATGGTGGGACTAGTTCCCTAGTTCCTGCCGGCAACATAGTTGTTTATTCTTTGACTGTCTCTGTTTTGCCTTCTATGGAGAAAGTTAGCTACCTAATAATCGAACGAAGGACTTGATCTTTATTTTTTATTCATTAGTTAACTACTTTTGGTATTCTCAGATAAGCTTGTATTTCAAGTCTCACGTTTCCTGAGGGAGCCAGCTCTAGTACCTTCTGTGCTTCTAAATCTTATCAGGGCAGATTCCAAAGCTCTATCTACAGTTTCTGTGTAGCACAAAACCTCGCGCCCCTGTATGGGTTCATAGTGTTGAGAGAGCCTCTCGAGCCTCCATCAGATTCCACAAGGGAAACTTTGGGTTAAGAAAGGTCCAGAATCACTGCCCTAGAGAAAGCAGGGGGTACCGTGGGCTGTGCACATGCATAATCATCTTCAAATCTCCACAATGACTGATCAGGAGAGGCCAGACTCTATTTTAAATAAAAATCCTTTTCAAGGGAACACAAGTATGAATTCACCTTGAATTCATTTTGGAAGAGAACTACCAGATAGCAATGTTTCAAAATGCATGAAAGAAATAAAATGTTGCCTACAGCTCTAGCAGGGAAGTAAAAACCAGGCCTTCCGGAGGCACTTTCTTACTCTGAATTACCTTGCTTGATGAATTGAGGCGAATCACCATTTTTTTTTTTATTCCCCTACGTGGGTTATAGTAATCGTTCTAGGTCTTCATATAAAAGCACTTTACAAAAAACAAGTATTAATAATCAGGTATGAATTATCCTATTGAAATCAGCCCTTCAGTTTTTTCACTTTCTGAACCTCGTGTGGGTTAGCTACTCTAAAGCAGTTAGCCATTGAGACAGGGACTGTCGGAGGCTAGATGTGGTTGAATTAATCTGTTCTTTAATCCATAAGGTTGTCTGGGGGATGAAGTAGCGCCCCTATAGAGACATTCAACACCATAATAACATACTTTAAACAAGTACTCCAAGAAGTCCCTAATAGCTGCATTTGGAGTTTTTGGCTTTGGGGATGTCATTTTGTTAATATGAGAAACCCAGAATGCTTTTTGATGCAAAGCAGTAGTCTGTGCCAAAAAAATAATTATCGAAATGGGCCCTATAATATAGCCCCTCCCTGCTTATTTTTTTCTTTTTTGTAGATTAGCTGAGGCCAGGTTTGTTTCATGCTAAAACAAAGGACTTTCAATTTGTAAGGCAACAGTTCCCATCTGGCCTCTTCTCTTGCCAAGTCCCAAACCTGGGCTCATGTGTCTAAAATTTCAGCAGCGACTTAGGCCATGTGTCTTTGCACTAAAAAAGAAAAGCAATTATTTCCATGGGTGACCAGATGATTTCCATATCGTCTACTGCACACAAACAATCCACTGAGTGCCACATCAGTCAATGATGAATTCAGAGCTGATCTTGCTACCCTGTCAGAGAAAAGCACGTGGGTTCTTCTTGTTTAAGAATTCTCTACAAAGATCCTAGAGCTGTGGGTTGGGTCAAGAGAAGACTTGCTTGCATACTCCTCCTACTATGTGCTTCTGTCTTTGTGACTTTCGGGAAGACTCTTCACGTACCCCCGGCCTTAGTTTCTCCCTATACAAAAATGTCAGATCAGGTGGTTTCTAGTATTTCCCTCAGTTCCTATACCTGTGTGGACCTCTTGGGGACAGATTTGTTGTGAGACAAGGAAATGAAGCCTGGGAGTTTGATTTTTGTTTTCTTAGGTCTGATTTTTTCCAATCTGAAACTCTGCAGCCCAGCTAAAAGGTTCTATGCTGAAAAACAACCCAGAAGTGGCAGCTGGCCATCCAGACCTTGGATATTCCGTTTGGCTAGAGTTTGTTTGCTTAGCACCTTCCATTTCTGTTTACTTAAAATTTGGCTCACTGGACCAGCCTCAAGAGAGACACCTTTTTCTTTTGACAAAGGTCCAGTAGGAGGGAAAGGGTCATTCAAAGGTAGCAGAAGCTGCGTATCCTCTCCAGCATCACAAGGCATGATGTGGAGCACTGAGCATCACCGAAAACATGGAATGGCTGTGGTTTCCGTCCCTCTGAAGCAAAGCAGTGGTTGGAAAATACAAAGATTTTAGTCTTTTCAGAGTCTGTCTCTTCCTTGGGCACTCCTTTAACAACCCAAAACACTGGTGCCTGTTGACTGGCCCAAATAGAACTTTTTCCCCCGGGTTTTCGGGGCCTAGAATTCTAGTATCTTCTTTTCCTTAGCCATGGATGGTTCTAAAGAGTGGTAAAAATTAATGTATTTGGGTCTCATAAAGGATAAATTAACATTCTGTGTTTTATAAGAGCAATGACATAGAGGCATATGCCAAGTCATGAACATATCTGATCACAAGGTAGACCAGCATCTTCGCTTCTCCTGGATCTCTACTATGACCTCCTTCTGTTTTCAAGCTCCAGCACCACAGTCAATATGCTGAAATACTTCTGCAAGGATGCATTTTAGTTAAAACTGATTTAAACCTGTGGGCATCTGATAGGTGCCAGCTGGCTATTTATGGCTCCTTCATTCAAGACACTAGGGCTGATTTTGCCCCCACAGGGGAGATCTGACAATGTGTGGAGACTTTTCAGTTGTCACAACTTGGGGGAGAGGTAGAGGGTGCTACTCATATTTAGTGGGTGGAGGTCAAGGATACTACTATCTACCTAAACAGGATACCATGGAGAATTATCAAGCCCCAAATTTAATAGTGCCAAGATTGGCAATTTCCAAGAATGGCACAATCTTGGCCATTTTCATGGTCCTCTTGCAAACCTCAGAACTGGTAGCAAATTCCAGGGATTCCCACACTTTGGTCATTGCAGAGCCAGTGGCTGGAATATTTGCTAGACCCACATGCACCAGAGTTTTTATTGACTTAACGTGTTTGTACAAATTAACTCATTATTTAATATTTTAGCCTCATCCTTACCAAGAGAATCTGTGAAATTGAAGGTCTGATGTTCTAATTACATTTTTCAATTCACATATAAATAAAAACATTACTCTGCATGTTTAAAGTGCTTACCATCTTCTACCTAAAAGCTTCTCACATACCACTGGGGCTGTGGCTAGAACTAAAACTTTTCAAGCTGCTACGGCATTCAAGATGTTAAAGTCCAGCCATCCCACTGTGGCTTGACTCCTTTCAATCACATCCTGGCCAAGTGGTCAGGTGGCCAGTGCTTGGACACTCCAGAGATGGGGAACTCCTTCATTTACTCAACAAGCAGATATTGAGGATAGACACACACGGACTCAGCAAATTAGCTTGACACTGTACTAGAAAGAGGGGGTAGGAAGTAGGGGGACAGGGTAATAAAACAAGACACAGCCCCCACCTTCATCCACATAGAAGGTACTGGGAGGACTTACTATTGTACTTCTCCCATATCTGTTCTATATGTTTCCCAGTTTCTTTCTCATGTCTACCACAAAAAGGATGAAAAATTTCGGGGAAAATGTGAACATCCATATGCAGCCCATGCATAACCCAAACTTCCTTTATATATTTTCAGTTTATACATTGGCTGCCCCAAGGCCATTTCCTTTGAATGCATGGAATATGAAAAAACTTTGGGGGTTTGGTACCCCTAGTGTTTCCTTCTAAGGACGCACAGAGAACCAGGTGGGGGAAGGGAAAGGTGACCTACAAACTACTAAGGTACAGATCCTCCCTATTTGGGGCAATCTTTCCCCCCTTCCCTCCTCTCTTCAGACTTTCTCTCTGCTCCTAGAAGCACCAGGCTATAATCTCTAACTTTTACTGCCCTCCCTGCATGCTTGCCATATAATCTATTTAGTTGCTCTCTTTCTGCTGGTGGAGGGGGCATTTCTTTTTGTGTGAGAACACACTCCCGGGGCGTATCATTTGTATGGCATGAAGTCTGCCACAGAGGCCCTGGTACGAGACTTTTCTCTCCTCGCAAATGCTCCCTAAAGGGGCCTTGTTGGAAAAATGTCCCCCACTGAGCCACCCACGAAAGGGAAAAATCCCACAACATTCAAATCTTGTTGAGTTTGAAAATGAGATGGGAACATGTCTTTTCTTATAGAGCAAAACAACAACTATAAATGTTCCTTTTTTCAATGAAACTGAAACAGAGCTAATCTAGTGGGAATCAAAGCCACCCTCTCCCTGGTGAATATAAAGACTACGGTTGGGCTGAAGATTTATTATGTGCTAGGTACCGGGAAAACTGCTTTGTAGACATGAGTTCACTTATGACTCCCAACGACTCTACGATTCCCATTTTATAGATGAGGAGACTGAGGGCCAGGGAGGTTAAACACAACTAATTGCTGAACAAGAGTGTGAACCTCCGTCCAACCAAAGCCAGTGCTCTCAGCCCTATAACTCAGCTGAGCAGGCTCTCCCTCCTCAGAGCTTTGTAGACAGGCTGGGTTAAAACTGAACACTTATTTTGTTTTGTACAGGGTCTTAGAGTGAATAAACCTTGGGGAGTAAGTGCAGTTGCTCTGTGGGCGAATGTGAGGTAGTACTGCTTAGGACAAGTGCCCGCCAGGAGGCAGGAAATGCCAACCGTACACAGGGCCTTTGAGTCCCGAGAAAAGAGACAGTGGCCTGCACCTGAAGCTGCATGTTTGTCTGGGTGAGTTCTTCTGCTTTCTTTTCCAGTGACATCACCCAGACCTTCCTCTTCTGTCTGCAGCGGGTGGCAGCTGCCCGGTTCCGTTCCAGAAATTTCCTCCGCCTCTCGTCAGGATCCTCGTCCACCACCCTTCGCCGGCGGCCCCCTGTGGGCTGGGGCGGCTGTATTGTCTGGGTTGGCTGCATCTGTTGTGTCGCTGGTGAGACCTGCTGGGCACGGGGGTGGGGGGTGGGGGCAGAGAAGGAACATGCTGGGTGAGAGAGGAAACCCAAGCTGGTGTTGGAACACAAAGCACAGAGGGTCGGTTGCTTTAGTAAGCAGATCAAACTTGTTTTCTAAGAGCGAAGTCAACAGTGAAATCACGCTCATGAAAAGAAAAAGCATTGCCGAACTATCTTCTGTGATATTTTGGCAAGACGTAGAAACGACTTGTGAAACAGAGTCAAATAGATTTTTCCCTGACAGGCATTTGGCTGAATCATGGCAGAGGAAACTTTTTTTTTTTTTTTTTTTTTGGTTTTTTTTCTTCTCCTTCAGATGTTAAACATGTTTTATTTAAGGTCTGTTTTATAAAGGTTTAATGTGCCAATGCAGGGCTGCAGGTGAAAAGAGAGAGATCAGGATTATTGTCCTAATACTGCTGCATCTTCTGTCATCTGCAGAAAACTCCTTCTGGGCAGGCTGTGGGCTTCCATTCTCCTGGTGTTAAAACCGTGTTCCTAGAACACACCTCTGGGACATCATCATCACTGTGACTCCCACCAAAAGAACCCTCTGAAGCCCGGAAAGCAGCTGAAATCCTATTTTTTCCATTTCAGAGCTCTTAGCACAAAGGGCCTAGTTGGACCTGCAAATTCCAGGTGGGTCCATCTGCTCCTTGGAGCTCTGCCGGAGACAGGCTTTTCCAGGTGACTAGAAGCGGGGCCTATGTGAGGGATGCCCAGAGAAGCCCTGAGTTCTGTAATACACCTTGTCTGTGCTGCAGGGAGAGATGGTTGGGAGTCACCATACACTTATATCGTAAGGAAACCCTAGCAGTGGCAAAGCACTGTATTAAAACTTTTTACTATACTCCTAGATTCCTTCTAAGAACTACAAAGGGCTCAGCAGTATCTAAAGTTTTGGAGACTCCTGCCCATACAGCTTTATGTCCCTTCATGAGGCCGACACATAGCACTGAGCGAAATTTCCACGACCGACTCTTTACGTGTCTGGACACCCAATGCCTTCCCTAATGCACCACACGCCTTTCCCCTTTCTTCGCTCTCAATAAAGGGTGGCTTTTTTTTTTTCCTTCTCATTTCTCAGTCACTCAGACTTCTGGCTGTAATATCTATAAAGTTGTTTTATAAGAGACATTTAACCTACAGAAATAGCCAAGAACAACAAAAAAGTGTTTAAAAGAAAGCGCAGCAACCTTTCCTACCACATTCTAATTCTGTGATTGAAATCAATCAGAATGATTGTAATTGTACTAATCATGGCTACTAGTCGACATCAGCTGACTGAAAGTGATATATTTTAATCTTAAACTCTATCAAAGCAAATATGACTCACTGTAGAAGAATCAGGCTCAGAACTGAAGTTGGACTGCATCTTGGTCATTTTATTTAAACGAGAGACATTTTCTAAAATTGCTTATTGGTGATTCCTTTCCTCCCTATCACAGAGAAATAACACAACGAATTAACCGTTGAAGGTCTTACTCACCAGAGTGGCTGGTGAAGATGTAATCCTTGTTACTGGCAAAGGTATAGCACTTGTCATTTCAGGTGCTAGGTGCTGAGCTAATGACCTCAAAGCAAAGCATTAGAAAGGAACCTGCAAACTTGGCTATTTTTGCCTATACATTTCGAGAATTCGTGATGTCTAATTGTTGGCACTGGACAAGATTCTTAAGTAGGCAAAACTGGGTTTGGCTCTCCATTGCCAAGGCCTCACATTTGATACTGTATTCTCCAACTCCAACTTTAACCACCCTCTATCTCTGACACTTGTCCTGTGCCTTTTCCCAACAGGGTAAGTTAAGTGATGGTTACAGGCTCAGTCCAGGTTCAGGTTTCAAAGTGGAGTTTGGATAAAAGGAATTTCTGGTGACTGAGGAGTGGCACCAGGACTCAGAAAGCACATCTGTACATGCAAGAGAATCCTAAGCGGCCAGGAGGAAGTGCAAATGCAACCCTAAGACCAGATTTTATGCCCCTGGTAATTATCGTTACTTATTTTTAAAATAGAATTCTGTTGGCATAGAGGCTCTGAAGTTTTGATTAAAAAATAACCATTTGTTATTTCATAAAGACATTTATTCCAAGTCATATTAGAATCTCAGTCAGGAGGGCCTTAATAAACTTCTGTTCGTAATGCTTTAATCATCGTACGCTTAAGCAATATGACAAGATCTCTGTAATCAGCCAAGTTCATACAATTTAAGAGTGGCATTTTGAGTACTGTCTGAATGATCCTGTTCAAATTTTAACAAGAGTAACCTGTATTCTTTCTCTTTAGTATGGGATTAAAAAGCAACTGTTTGTGCAGCTAATTATAATAGCAATTAACTAATTGCATATACAATTGGCCGCTTACTGACTTGAAATGGAGGGCAATTGCCTAATTGGTAATTAGCTAATGAATGGCTTTTATATTCAACTAACGGTTAAACTTGTCTGTGAAGTAACTAGCTGACAAGGCAACCAAAGCTTGATGTTATCCTTTTCCTTAAAAAAAAAAAAAAGTACACATGTGAATTTATCTGCCTATCTTTGCACTACTAGTTTTCTCTGTCCCTTCTAAAGGTCTCCATGTCCTACTATGACATTTGACTAAAAAGGTGCTTCGGGTGGCATTTTATTGATGAACCACTTGCTAAACATCTATCATATTACTTCAGTTTGGAAATTAATCATGCCTAACATGTATTGATTCCTGTGTCAGGGGCTTTACAAACATTCTCTTAATACTCCTAAAAGTCTATGAGTTTTGTCTACCATTATCCCATTTTGCAAATGGACCATGGAAGCTCAGGGAGTTAGCTGACTGACCATAGTCACATAGCAAGTAAGGTGGGTAAAGAATTTACAGATTTCTCACTCCAAAGCCTGCACTCTTCCTCGCTATATAGAACTCCTCTAACTACCTTTGCAAAAGTCAGCTGACCTAATGAACAAGCTTATCTATTGAACAGATCAGAGAGTACTTGTGAATGACCCATTTTGTGGGTGGCCGTCCAAGTTTGGTGTGTAATAAAGGAGAGGGTTCTAAAGGTCCCAAACTACCTTGGGTGAGGTCTGGAGGCAGATGATGGAAGAGATGGTGAATAAGTGTTATTTGGCGATTCCAAGCTCCCAACACCACTCTGACCCAACTGGTTGGAACCTGGCAGTGTGGAATGGGTGGAGGGGACTGACAAAGGTCATCCTGCTTGAAGATCCAAAGTATCTAGGGCCAGCCCTAGACATGCCCTTCCTCCACTTACTAAAACTTACTCGGATACATGGACCCGCCTCTCTTCTTGGGCTGGGTGACATAACGTCTGCCTGGTCCCCCAACCTTCTTTCAGTTGCGTCTAAATGCTGGCTTTCTTTCTAGCCACTTCTGGTGACTCTCCACCCCTGGGATTTGGCCTTTCTCTAGAACCAATCATCTACAGAGTTTGGCTCTCTGTCGGCTCCCTCCAACGCATTTCACACTAGGTGGCATGAGTCACCTCTCTTCCTCATTTACCCAGCACCTTATGCCCTATCATCCATTACCCAGCTTCTTTGTCTGCCTAGAACTGTTGTTCTTTAGCTTTTTAGCATTTGGTTTTATCCAGAAGACTGTCCATTGTATTTAACTTCCATTTTAGAGGTGTCAAATTGAGTTTTTACATTAAAAAGCACTGCAGTTAAAAACATGGCTAGGATTAACTTATTTTCCTCATTCTTTATTCACATCTTTCTTCAGATGCTTCAGTTTTTCCTAATCCTTCCATCAGTATTACTTTTTTTAGAGTTACCTTTGTAACTCACTGCAAAAACAAAAACAAAAACAAAAACAAAAAACAGATTTTGGAGAACTTGAAGCTTACATTTGCCCCCAGGGACTAGAACTAATATTTACCATATTATTTCTAGAAACTAGGATCTGGGAGGGCCTTATAGGTCATCATTACCTCCTAAGAAAGAACAGCACTCCTGCAAGTGTCAGACAGAACACCCAAGCTCGTCAAACCAGCTTGCTGCCAAAGGGCCCCGCATCAGAGCTCGCACTGATAACAAGAGGGAAAGAGATTATAAAAGGCCCTACCTGTGCTTGGTTGCCGGAGTGCAGGGGTGGGTGTGGCGAGGTCTGGTGATGTGCAGGGTGCGCGTGGAGGTGGGAGTGGGAGTGATGATGTGGGTGGTTCTGCTGGTGATGGGGTTGAGGGTGAGGGTGGTGGGCTGGGTGCTGGTGCTGGTGTGGGTACGGGTGATGGGCTGGCAGTGTCTGGTGCTGATGCGGGTGTGAGTGCATGTGATGGTGTGGCGTCTGGTCCTGCCGGGAGCCCATCATTTCCATCATGTGTCCCATGGTGTTCATATTCCCATTGGACATGGCAGCAGGGTGGTGAGTCAACGCGGCCTTCAACCTCTGAAACAGAACAAAACAAGAGGGGACAACTGAGGTCAGTCGTGTACAGAAGATTGATTTTGAATCAAAAGGACTCCTATTTTTAATTCCATGTTATGGTGCTCCTGCTAGTAATAATAATGCTAACATTTGTTTACTGGTTGGTGGTATGACTTTTATATTAATTTCAAGTTTTCATCTATATTTTAGTAGGTAGGAGGGTCAATGTCCACTGGAAATGTTAATTCAGCTGTCACAGCAGAGAAGCAGGATACCCTGTCAAGATTTAGACAGTCTACTAAAAGGTATTTCACACTAATTTCCTAATCGATTATCATCATATCCTATCAGCAGCTGAATATAAGCATAAACCAAATAAAACCATTTAATATGATAACGCCACTGAACAAACGGCTCATCTGATACAGCACTGTATTTTGTAAGGCTCACAAGAATGAAAGACTTCTTCCTCTCAAAAGACTTCTTGAGTACAAAGAGGAAATAACTTCAAATTTCAGAATACAGGGATAGTACTGATGTTATTTTGGGCTTTAAATTAGATTCATGATCTATAACTTTTGGAGGCAGTAGGTAGGTCTTCTCCATTTGTTTTCATGAGATCTCTCAAAGTCTTTCCTGATAACCTAATTTTTCTCATGCAGTAACTTCTTATTTTGGGAAGGAAATGAGGGACATGGAAAGATTTGGAGGATTGCATTCTAGAGCTTCTTTGATGGCCATATCATTGGGCATATTTCTAACCCCACAGCATTATCCATTAACAAGCACACAGACGTGCACCCAAATGACTTCTACCTGAATCTAAAGTTGGGATCAACAAACCTTTTCTAGAAAAAGTCAGATAGTAAATATTTTTACCATGGCACGCCTTATGCTCTCTGTCACAATTACTGAATTCTGCTCTTTTGGGGCAAAAGCAGCCGTAGACAGTGTGTAAATGAATGAGCATGCTGTATTCTAACACAACTTTATTCAGGGACAGGAAGTTTGAATCCCATATAATTTGACATGACATGAAATGCTATTCTACTTTTGATTTTTCATCACTTAAAAATGTAAAAACCATTTTTAGCTCAGACGCTTTGCAAAATTAGGCAGCGGGCCAGATTTGGCCCATGGGCCATAGTTTGTTGGCCCCGATTTAAAGAATCAGTTGGTAATCAGCTTAGTCACAGTTTCTTCAAAATTGCCTTTTCTTGTACACAGGCAATTATCATCATATCCTGAGGGGCACAATGTGCTAAGTACTGTATAATACAGTTATTCCTTGGAAACGTATCTTCTACAGTGATGTTAGTCTGGTTGGCAAGCTCACGCTGGCTCCATGAAATATTTGCTAGGGGACTCAAAGTTCTCTCCAGATTTGTATTCTTATCTAATTAACGACAGTGGTGTACGATCACTGCAGAAAGGAAGAGTTGTATTTAAATGAGGGTCAAAGCAACCATGCTCCAGCCCTGTATAATATTAATGATTCTCGACTGGGTAGAGTAAGCTATTGATGAATACCAACTGAATTCATCAAAATCTTTAGTTAAACACAAAGAACCTCCATGTGTGTGTTTTTTAAGACTTCATTTATTTACTTGAGAGACAGAGAGGCAGAGATAGTGAGACAAAAAGCACAAGTGGGGAATAGAGGGAGAAGCAGGCTCCCCACTGAGGAGGGAGCCCAAAGCAGGACTGGATCCCAGGACCCTGGGATCATGACCCAAGTCAAAAGCAGATGCATAACCGACTGAGCCACCCAGGCGCCCCAAGAACCTCCACTTGAAAAATAAAATAAAAGGGAGGGTAGTATGTGACAGACTTTATCCTAATATTGGATAATCATTGAAAACGTTTCCTACATCCAGATTCAGTGACCAGTAAGCCTACTTGCTTCCTCTTTCATGAGTATCAGCTCCTGACCTTCATCGTAGTAATCCTGAAGAAGTTAAGCTTCCTGAATCCCTGGGAAAGATTAGACGCTGGGTATTGTGTTTATTGCTACACAGAAAAGTGAACTCATACTCCTCAACTCTAGTTTTTGAAATGATTTCATTATTTTTATAAAAACGCTTGTTACAAAAATTTAAGCAATGGTTGAAAGTAAAGTCAGCAACCAATGAACCAAACACACTGTTTATATTTGGTGGCTGAATGGCATTTTTCTACATGCATATGTAGAGGTGGAGGAATAAGGAGAATAATTTCATCACAGGGGGATAGTAATAGCATGGAACTTAGATTCTTCTTTGAATATAACATAAGCAAAAGAAGTAAATAAAATAAAATGAATTGTTGGACTTTAGATATGTGCTTCTTTAGCCCAAGAAAAGTTTCCAAATGAGATCTCCAAACTTAAGGGTGAAGAAAATTATGGAAAAGATTATAATGAAATCACTGTTTTGTTTTTGTTTTTGTTTTTGTTTTTTGAAATTGGGTAGTGTTGATAAATTTTCTCAACTATTTTTTGCAGTTTCATTATTATGAAAACATATAGCTATGTAGTAAAAAAAAAAATCAACTATTATAAGAATATGGGGTGAAAGACTAAAGGCACCTGCCTACTCTTTTCCTGCTAAACACCAATTCCAAGTAATTTGCCTTTGTTCTCCTTAACAATAGATCTTTGACACCTTTCTATATGAGTAAAACCAGCTAATAACCATGGCTGGCATTACTCAAGCACTTGCCGCACGCCACTCCTCAGTCTCCCCTAATCCTTAGAACAACCCTGCAAGGCTAAAAGAGAGACTAAGCCACCTGCCCAAGCTCACACACCACTAGAGAGATCTGTAGAGGCATGCAGCCTCCAGAGCCTATTCTCTAAACCAAGAAAGAAGGTGCCAGAAGGCACACCATGCACACTTGCCAAAAACAGTTATGAACTATTTTATGCCACCTCCTCATCATCCAAAGAAAGGCAGAAAGAAGAGATAGGTCTATGATAAAATGAAAAGACAAGATGCCATTGCTGTGTGGTCCAGTGCATGGTTACTCAAACACACAATGAAGATCCAGATATACTCTTTCTGAAACTTGGCAGACAGAAGCGCGAATATAAGAATTTCTAGGAAGCTCCAGTGCAGCAAAGGATCCTGGGCTTATGGGGATCACCTCCTCTGTTATATTTGTGAAGAATGGATACTTGTATTTCCCCCCTCCCACTCGCCCTCCCCCGACTCTGATAAAGTCCATGTGTCCCTTCTTTCGGTCCCCACTTCCTCCTCACCTTTGGGTTTATGACCCTTTTGTCTTTCTAATGTTCAGAAGACAATGTGGCGTATGCACAGACACTGAGGGGTGTGGCCCTGCCTTCCCATCAGCCCTTGCTCTTCCCACGCAGTCCCACAGGACTTTGCAGTTGATAGTCTTCTTGCCTGAAATGTTCTTTCCCTTTCTTCAGACATTTTATTTTTATTTTTAAGAAGAATTATTTATTTTAAGGAGAAAGCGAGAGAGTGCAGGTGAGTGGGTGGAGGGGCAGAGGGAGAGAATCTTCAAGCAGACTCCCCCCCCACCCTGCCCTGCCCAGAGCCTCAGGTGGGGGCTCCCAACCCCGACCCATGAGATCACAACTTGAGACAAAACAAAGAGTCGGATGCTCAATGGACTGTGCCACCCAGGCCCCCCTTCAGATATTTTATAGCTCTTAGCTCTTGGTTCCTTCTTAGTAAAATTCTCCCTGGTCTCCTGGTCAAAATCAATTCCTATTATTGCATAGTCCCAGTAGGGTCATATTCCTCTTCTAATTTCAGTCTGTAGTTATGATTTTAATATAATTTTAATTAATTAATATGATTATTCAATTCATATCCATCAACCATTCCAGACTGTAAGCTTCATGAGAGCAGGACCCACCTTGGATTTTGTGCAGCTGTTAAAGTGGCAGCTTTAGCACAGAGCCTAGTATGTAGTAGGCACTAAATTCATAGTTTGGTAATGAAAGTAAAGATGAACGAAGAATAGATGAATGAATGAATGAATAAAAGAAACTTCTGAGGCTCATGAGGATGCGGCATTTTCATCTTGGGTCACTGCAGGTGCTATTTGTCTGGGAGGATGACTCCATCAGTCAACCAAAGTCGGCAGAAAAGACTACAGAAGTCATGCAGGCAGACAGGCAGTAGAAATACTGTCAAGAGAGCTTCCTGCTCCACACCTGGCCTGCCCTCCCAAAAATGGTAAAGGAAAAAATTAAACGTAAAGAAACAAAAGGAATGTGGCTTAACTTTCTCTTGATACCCTTTTCTGAAAAAGTGGTATGGAAAATTGAAAAGCGGTTTAGTCGTGGGTCACTATGTTATCCCTTCAATCCTACAAACAACTTTCTCACCTTAAATTAGGAGCAAATGGAGCCTGACCAATAAATGCTCTGCACCAGATCTTCATCTCAAATAATTAGCTTATCCTGATAAGGGAAATTACCTGATGGCCTCAAGTCCATTGTTGCATATTTCACGCCAAGACGATAATACTAATACGGCTTATAACATTCCATTTAACTATTTATTCCCTCAACAAATATTGATGGAGCTTCTACCATGTGCCAGGCACTGCGTTAGGCATGTTGTTATTTGCCACTACTGGAAGGAAATGGAAGATAATAAAACCAAAGCTTTCTCAGCACTGGGGAGAAAACACACACACTTTGGCGAGGAAATGAAGATTTTCAAGCACCCCTTAGAGAACCTCAGGCCTTGGGGTTGAGCCCACCATCCGATGTCGTCTTTGAAGGAAAGCGGTGCCACTAAATGGTTATTGGGGCACTTCTGAAAGTCCTAAAGAACCTACTTGCTTCCCTGTATCCTCGTGCCAACATGAATCATTGCAGGGTAAATCATCATAGTATACCAAATAAAGAGATTTGTACCCCACTCTTTCAGGGATGATGAATGACCATTAAATGAGTCCAAGCTGTATTTTGCAGAATGGTTTTTCTTTTTGAAGCTGAACTGTGTCTTGTTTTAAATAACATTCTACCTAATGCCAAGAAATGGAAAGGGAGAGAGAGG